AAATTAGGCCTAAGTTAACAAAGGTTCATGTCCTTAAATCAGCTATTCAGAGGATTCTGTATACCGTGGCTCTAGTGGCGCCCCACTGCAAACGTTTGCACAGTCGTTATCTTAATATTGTTGACGATAGTAAATTAAGATGATTTATCACTTTTTTAAACTTCAGGAAGTAGCTGTTTACAACAATAAAAGGATTTACGCACCTAGAAATCTGGTCTTTAATAAGGTATCTTATATTTTGTAATAAGATTTTGCTTTCTGCTGATTAAGTTAATGTAGCGGCTAACTGAAGAATTTTATTCGATATCCGACCGGAATCCTGTCTCTTCTGACAGACGTTTGGTAAGATTCGCCACTATTTCCAGCCAATGTCAAGATACTGTCTTCAAACAGGTTATGACAACCTCCTTCCAAATCGTTGCCCATTCGCCATTCATAATTCTCTTCCCAATTCATACAACATAATATATGGAATGTAATATAAAAATTCACCAAAACATAAAAAATCTTTTGTTTTATCTTTCTGCTTCAAAGTTGTATTAATTAAACTGTATCTATTTTTTATTTGTTTATTTGGTTATTTTATGACGCTTTACTAACTGCATGTAATACCAGACGGTGAATATTAAGATTATTATTTACGGTAACGTTATAAAGACGTGGAGGAAACAGACAAGATCAGGTTTCGAACCGGTAACTTTCAGCACGCGACTCAGACAAAATATGCTACACTTAATCACATGATAATCAGCCGCACTGTCAAAACAGAAGTCATAGAATAATACATAACCTAAAATCCCAATATTTTTTCAATTATTTAACATAAACTAATAGCATAATGTTTAAAGAAAAACTTTAATAATAGGATTCGGAAAGAATTATATAAGCATGGCGTAAAGACAATAAAAAAAATTACTAGTCAGAAACAGAACTGAAGTCATCACAGCGTCCACTAGATTACGTCCATGTTATTACTTCCCTAATCAAAACAAATACGTATTTCTTTGAGCAGGCCCATACATCCATTTAATTACTGGGAATTTATAACAAATCATTGAATTTTAAAACGATGTATTAAACCCAGCACACTGAATACTGACAAACGTTGACAAAAATTTCCAAGTCCGTATTTACATTTAACGAATTGCGAGCATGAAACATATTCACAAGACAGAATAAAGAAACATTGTGTTAACGTATTTTCTTCCTACTCACCCGATGTTTATATCAATGTGAGTGAATAACTCTTTTGAGACAACGTCCCAAAAATCCAGTGGTGTCTTCTCTTCACGTGCGTTATTTGAAGATATTTCTCGCTTTGGTATAATATTCACGCAACACGTTCTAGCGAAAACTCTCGTAGCAATGTAGCAACGCGGAGTAATACATTTACACACGACCGCTAGCAGTCACGGCAAGCAGCCGACTAAAGACCTGCATAAACTAGCGTACCTTCATGCGATCTACATCTAGGGGCTTAATGCGCAGACTCCACTGCTAGCTTCCTCGCAAAAAGAAAAACAACTTTCAAGAAGACATTCCTGTAATGTGTGATATTTGATATCGAACTCATAAATACTGTGACAGTCGACCCGTGTGACCAAGACTGAGCTAGCAGCGCTAAACCAGCTGATATCTTCCGTAAAATTTTAGAATGGGGAGAATAATGGCTTATTTAACCACGTACTGTTTGATGAAAAAATAACAAGCTTAACACATTTAAGACGTTGGTACTATGTAAAGATGATACTACCATTTTGTCCCTTGGGGAAGGAGTTTGATTAGAAGCTGAGTATCCCTAAGTAGTCAGGGGGTGGTAATGTGAGAAAAAAGAAAAATTATTGTCCGTGCCAGGAATCAAAACGCTGTCACATAGTAGGCAGTCTGCATAGTAACTGAGCTGTCTACCTGTGTATGGAAAAGCGTTATAGTCTACACTGTACCTTAGCTTTTCTGGATAATTTTTCTGAGAAATTTTAGAACCTCTTTTATTCGCATTTGATAGGACCTTTTGAACGAGGCGAAGGGCCGTTGAAAAATTTTTAGACTTGTATATTATACAGAGTCAAATGACGGGGTAATAATACCGATTTTCCAAAAGCAGAGAATACTAAAACAGCATATATACTATTATAGCCACATCACCACTTCCGTTTTAGATAAAAACCTCTGTCACAAATATCGAAAAATATATAAACAATACAAAAATCTACCGTCACAATGATAATTACAGACTACAGTTATACCAATTACACTTATTCGTGTATTTTTATTTATTTCCCTGTGTCTCTACAGTTCTTGGAGAATTTTGGCGGCTTTCGTATGGGAAGTTTCGAAAATGTTTTCTTCGAAAGTTGGTTACGCTCTTAGAAGGGTGTTTAGCCCTTCAAAAGGCCTGTACTTACAGAGGACAGTATAAAACATAAATATGCAGACTAACATCCATGCCTTGAATGGGATTGAAACACCCGATTCCAGTGTCCAAATGCCCAAGATCCCAATCTTAGAACGCTCGGTAACTGTGATATTACGTAACCTTTAAAACCCAGCGGCAACAATATATACCACCTGCTTTAACAACCAATTAACTCTGCGTTTTAATCACAGAGAGTATTTGTTGGGTTTATATAGAGATAATTTCCATAATGAAGAGTGATTATTCCTCTAAGCAGAATAACCCAATTGATGTTTGTAATGAAAAAGTATTGTGTTATATTTGGTACACGAAATAATTTGTTATATATTATTTAAATAAGCTTGGACTTCATTTCCACCAAATATTCCGTTACCAAAATTAACATCAAATTTCAAAATTAGTATCGAGTGCAGTAAGACCCTTTGATAATAACATTTCATCAATCTACCTTTTCCATTTCTCAAATCTTTTAATTTTCTTCAAAATATCTTTGACAATAGGGCGAACTGACACTACCTGGGAACCTACACAACCAGAGAAATTTCCTTTCCCCACCATTAAATGGATTCTGTCGCTACTCGTTTCCCACTTTCCCTTTCTCAAGCAATTCTTATTAAAAATATTAAACATATATCATTCAATGGACTATATCGAACATAATTGTGGTGTAATGAATTAACCACTATAACAAGTCTTTAGCCAGGCGCCACTGCAGACAGATTAAAGCGACTATGTACCTAAATACACAGAGATTTTAAGTTTTCGGGTGTTATAGTCACTTAATAAATTTCATAGAGCGTAAAATGTTTCCGCACTCTGTTCTGTCAGTGCCTGATTGCTTAAAATAAATGTTCCACCAGCCTTTCCCGCGTCATCGACTTCCTGAGGCCTTGTGAGCTTTTGCGGGGCCTCTTTTCCGTATAATCAATCATACAAGACTCCAACTGCGGACAAGCGATGTTAACTGGCAGTTATTCTACCGGGTGCATTAAAAATAGTTCTTCTGCCAGTGTAATGATGCATGTTTCCTTCCACTGTTTCAAAAGTCTGATAAGAAATCTAAAGTCTCTCGGCTGTCTTAAAGGTAACATCATTTTCACGAGGTAAACCCCCATTTTTACTAAAGACTTTGAAGATTAAGTCACGGCAATTGGTATAGAAGAAACGCCTTTAAAGTTTAAACTAAATCAGTTTCAGCTTTTGAAAATGAAGCTCGTTCAAATAATATTCAATAATTCAATCCGTACTGCAAAGTAAACACAACTACTTACCATTACAAAGATCAGCTGGTTAGTGTTAAATCCTTATTTAAAATCTAATAGTCACACTGGCAGCCGAGAAATTACCTGCTTTTAATAAAATAATATATTCATTATAGATTTCGCAGAATTCCGCCATTTTAACCAATTGTTTCCAATAACACACACAAGTCTTTTCTCCATCAAATATGTTTACCATTCATGAGCGACCCTCGTATATATATATAAACTTCTTGCGTGAAGTTTCTGGACTAAATGTTTCACAATTTTGTTTACAGTGTGTCCCAGAAGTATGTATAAACACTTTCAATAAATTTGAATTGCCGGAAACTCAATTTATCCTCCGCCATTTCGTATATCTGAATCATGTTTTATTTTCATAAGCTATTCAATTTATGTTAAAATAACAGATTTTCCTGTAGATGTGGCGATCTATATTCATACAAACATGTGTAATAAACGAATAAGTTTATGTATTTATACAAAGATCTTTGCCATTATTTGTGATTATTTAAAGACCTCACATAAATTCATCAGAAAAAGTTTCAAATCTATCACACAAAGTAATTAATATCACTTTAAATAATACTGATATAACTTAAAATCGGTTCAAGACCAGCTAATATCAAATCCGCCACTGAGCACAAATTCGTGTTAGTTTTATCAACAAAAATCCTAACAAGTTACTTCCTTCATTATGAGGTTTAGTAACTGCATTTTACCCATAGAGTGCATTTATGATTCTCAGAGTAAACAGCGATTATTTCCTTAAGCAGCATTAACCAATTGATCTTTGTATTGGTAATGGGTCGTGTTTTCTTTGAAGTAAGAACTTAATTTTTAAATATAATTTAGACAAATGTTGTATTTAAAGAGTTAAATCCCCTGGACATAAGGATTTAAAAGACGAAATAATATCCACGTTAATTGAAGGTCGATGGAACAGTAATCGTCAAAGTAAAACTGAATTAAATCTTGTCCAATGACAATTGTTCTCTTCATATGAAAAATCCTACACGGCCTGCCCGGGATTAGACTAGGATGACGCGGAAAGAAATATGTTTCTAACCCCCTTGAAAACGGCTTCAAATAAGACCTATTGCAGTCTAAAATGAATGCAGAAGCAGAACTGGTATCTGGCTTTCCACTTATCTTGACGGCATGATCTTGGTATTTTGAATCCAGATCTTTCAATTGAGTGGTTTTACCTTTTTCATCCGATTCTCTTCAGTGAGTAAAAAAAATTCTGTATATTGGAATAAGTCACAGACACAACGTAGAAATTGGTTTCTTGGTGATCCGCCCTCACCCCAATTCGTTGTGTGTCACAGAGCTCCTTGTCTTTTTGCAGTGTCGCTGCCGGCAGTCAAGAATCTTGAACAAACACAAATACATACCAGAACTACTCCCCTCTGCTACCTTCAATTTTAGACGAAAGAAATAAAAACTTCGTATCTGTTACAGTCACAGCCAAAATTATACTTATCAAAATTATTTAAAATATATACCCACATTATATGTGCGTGAAAATTTCAAATAAAAATAAATCACATTCAAAATAAATTTAATATAAAATAATAAACCCGCTAATGCATTGATGGATATCATCTGGGTTTGTTGTTGTGTAGTCTATTAGATGTTTACCGACGTTTCAGAAGTGCTCATTGCCTCCATCATCAAAGCATCCAGAAGACAGACATCATTGTGAGATCTGAAGTTTACAAAGCTGTAATGAAAACGTTGATGTTCTGAGTTTTGGCGCCGTATTGATTATTCGGTAGATGCCAGTGTTTGGGAGAAACGTACTATCCTCATCTTCAGTGCTGAAGACCAGTTAACACGCGCGCTAAGCCCCAGAAGAACATCATCGTGAAAGCCAACTTTATATTTGCCGCCATGAGAACCTGAAACCTCACACACACTACTCCGTACTTCGTTGAGTCAGTTCAGCCAATTTCAGATTTTCACAACCTATTGCCATGATATATTTAAAATTATCCTTTTGTCTGCAGACATTTATGGCCTAACAGTTGAATCTGTCATTTACAATATTACAAAGTCCACTTCTCGACAAAACTGAGCTATTATTACCACGGGAATCATCAGTACGTCTTTTCTCATAAGAGTAACATCAGTCCAAGTCTTCATTGCACGTCGGCAGCCTTATATATAGTTTGTTTCCAGATATAACTACATGAGTCCTGGACTCATGTTATTTTACCGGTTCTGTTTTGGGATTTTACCGAACGAAATCACTTAATCCCACAGCGAATTAAGTTAAATAGAAATCTTCTTTTCAGGTTTTCGGTTGTACTCCAAGAACTCACGATAATACTTCAAATCAGGACAATTCTATTAAAAACATAAAACTATAAATTAAACTCACATTAATACATCAATCTTGAAACCCAGTCTAGTGAACATGAGACGATCCTAAACAAAATCATTCCTCACAGTGGCATGTGAGCCGGACTGCCTCACTTTATCGTCTGTGCCTAAGATTCACTGTTGGTAATTTTATTCGTCTTTTCACATAAATGCAGTGACTTTTGAATGTCAGTGTACAGTCTACCTCTTCAATGAAAAAGAAGACAGTAAAGTTGACGGCGGACGAATAGAGAACCGACTTGATATATTGAAATCAAACCTTAGTCTTATAATCTTCTCAAGACTCCATAGTACTCCATCTCTGATGCCACACTGCCTAATCCTATACCAGCTATTAATTTGACTGTTTCAAATTATAATACAAGTTAGAATGGTCCTAAAAAAATTAAAACTCATAAAGCGGCTATGAATTTTCCGCCGCTGACAGCGTATAAGTAATGAAAGCAAAGATGCTACAGTTCCAAAAATTACACGGTACATTTCACTTTTTTAATTTTTAAGTGGGCTTCAAAAACTTATATTCATCACGTCTGTCAACAAGCAACAATACTCAAATTTTTTGAACAATTCGTATAAAATCCGGTATCATAGACTAAATTGTGTCGGGATGTTTTGATTAAATGCGGAGGACTTCCGGTTCATACACAGAGGTACCGCCGTAGTCGAGCGGCAACTTCTTCATCACGTCTGTAATGCGGGGAAGTAACACGTACAGGCGTTTCTCTTAAGTCGAATTCAAGGTTTACCACAGTTACACACAAGGAAATGAATAAATGTGCATTTATCGTTTAACTGATATTTTTAAGAACCTATCGATTCTATATTAGATAGGTCGACAACAGTTGTTTCTTCTGAAATGCTGTTATTTACCTACAAGTCTATATGACGTTACAACTCATAAGACAAACATCGATATTCTCAAAGTCGTGAGCATCCCAAATCTCTCCCTTGCCAATAATTACTCTACCCATGTTTTGTTTTCACCACAGCCTGTGCTGAGAGCTACAGGCCAACATTCGGCAAAGGATATCGATCATTTGGGACTTAAGTTCTCTCGCATGACATAACCTAACCTTGAAATCCTTCATCACTGAACTTTTATGCTAACCACTAAATCAAAAGGCCACACAATAATCAGAATCAGAGTTTTTCGGCGTAAAAATCGTTGGACCCCAGAGGATTTGAATCTCTCTTCTCGGTTTAATAGTAAAAGTAAAACATAAAAATTTTTACTAAATATATATGTCCCGCGCCTTAGCCGCGCGGTCTAAGGCATCATGCTTCGGTAGGCATGTGACCGTGAGGCCACCAGCCAAGCTAGTCGGCTTTGGCTCTCTGGAGCTGTTACGCCACGGATTTATTTGTTATTTTATTTATTTAAATATATATACATTCAATAAATGGAATAATTACATTTAATAAACTAAACCATTACGTTGGCACTTAGGGCATTAGTAAATATTGTGTAGGTGTTCAAAATGACAACTGTCAGCTTCGTGGCACAGTTAACAGCGGTGTAAAACTGACTGAAAATTTTAATATTTTTTTATTATGATGTGAATATATTTCTGAGACATCGTTCTTTATTAAGGTACATTAGTAGTAAATTTATGAAATTAATAAGTCACAGTTTAAGTAATTTTATAGGTTTGGGAGCCTCAAAATATTTTATTCATATCAAGGGAGCCTCAGATTAAAGGAATTTTGGAACCACTGGACTAGACAATGGAAAAACACAAACGTAGAAACTTTATAAATTTAAAAGACGTAGTCACACGTTTTCCAGTTTGAAACACAAAGACACCAACTGATGACGATACATTTCCAAACATGTATTGACTTATTTTAGTCTCATTTAATTTTCTGTTTATTAAACGACGCTGACACTAGTTCAGAATGTTATCATCCAATGATAAACTGAGTAATTGATTAATTTTAACGTACGTGGAAAGAATTTTTCATAACTTACTGTAAGGTAATTTTCCGAAATTGCCTGGAATGACCTAGGAATTTCACAAGGTACCAAGTCTTCGAGTCTAGACTTTAAGCCGGGACCATCCAAATACGAAATAGGAATTAAGTAACAGGCATAAAAATATAAAATTAATATTAATATGTCATTCGCAATTCGTATCCCGTTTAACTCTGACAGCTTCAATAAAGGTTTCAATTTAAGAGAATTTCCATGACTACAGGAGATTATTTCTCCATCAGATACGCCCTGGTTAACTCTCCATGCTCTAACGGACACTAAAAATCGATAGTGTTCAACATAAGTGCCTCCAGAGTAATAATCCTGTCAATATTACAGAATATTAAGAATTTTTTGGGACCAGGACACAAGAACACTTCTTAAGTATAACTTGAAGTTTTCACAGAGGTGAGTCTGATAATTGCCCTGATGATGGAGGCAGCATGGACCTCTGAAACGTCGGTTAACTTCTAGCAGACTACACGGCGATAAAACTCACAAGACAGACATCTTAAGAAAATTTTATGTCCGAGGCTTTGTGTGTTGAATTCGGATTTTATTAATACCCTTTTACCACTCGTTTCCATCCTCCGAACTTCCAATACCTGAATATTATGGTACTGGCATTGCGAATTTATGCAGTTGGCAGTTTCAAATTGGCTATCTCTGACGTGAGTCGAGTTTCAAACGCAGATGCATGTAAGTGCCACACCCATTCTGCTACGGCTGCATGAGGTAATATCATAGTTAGTTGTTACCAATCCTGCAAGCCGCCAATCCAATGGACACAGGGATAAGCTCAGTAATAACGTGAATCCGACCACACATATGCCCCTAAAGCAAAGTTTATAACACGTGAAACTTAGTTTCTAAGCCCCAGACGCGATTAGTCACAGAAACTAATATACATATGATATAGAGGATTAAAATTATGCTTAATTTCCACACGAAAACGACTTTCATATTAACATACTTGTACGTACTACTACCATAATAAAATTCTAAACTCTTTTATCATAGTAAAAACAGTTTAAAACAAACATTATATATGCACCAACTATAGGGCTCATTTAGCTACATTAAAAGAATTTTGTATTTTGTTATGATCGTTAGAAAGAAACTTTTTCTGAAAGATATGATTTTTGACATATCTGCATAATGCAAATAATATGACCAACCAAAATATGTCTTCTAAAACAACGTAAATTCAAACACAACAGCAAAAATTAAGATATATAAACTTTGGAAATATTATTCAAATTTATTTTACGTTCTTGAACCTAAAAGCAATTAAGAGTTACATCCTTTTCCATTAATACTGTAAATCGTTTCAGGATTGTCCATGTCTAATTACATTTATAATTCTCTGAGTTAATCAAAATAATCTTTGACACTGAATCAATTCAATTTTATAAACGTGCCAAAATTATGTTTTTATGATTTCCTTGGTGCATTTATCAGATTTCAAGATAAGAAACCTTGGAACCAGTAAAATTTTCCATATAACCTTCACTTTGTATGTTTCTTTTCATCTCTGCCAAAAATTTGTCAGTGGGACCACGGTTCCGGAGAATCTGACGTAAATACGTCTATAAGGAAAGGAAGTTTATACATTGGCATTATTCTAATTATTTCCTTTATACATGCTTTACAATTGAGATAAGTTTGATTAAGACATTGCTTATTCAACTTGAATTAGTTACGCTTAAGATGGTTCTGTAGTAGATGAATGTAATGTAAAGTAATGTATTTTAATGTAATGAAATGTAATGTAATGTAATGTGACGTTTCCTAGGTAACAACAACGCCGAGTAAACAGATGACGTTCCCTAGGTAAGCATTGTTACACTTTTCGTTCCCCTTTTTCGTTACACTTTTTTGCCGAATGACCCTTCCTTATAGACGTATTTACGTCAAAAAATATATATAAGAATGGAATAAAATCTGTTATACGATATAAAAGTACAGAAATGTTCTAAGCAAATTAATATATTTACTATATATAAAGTTCAATGATTACTTTTGTTCTGGAAGGTAGATGTACTTTACTCTGTTCTCATAACACTTAAATGACGTCTGACAACACACAGCGCCGCGCAGTAGGCGACTGTCTTACTAAACACAACATGGTCGATGTTTGTGACTTGATGGTGCTGTTCTCTATTGACAGTTTGTGATAGTATGAGTATGGTAGCGAAATGGTCATGTTCTTCAAGCACCTTATTACAATTCATGTAGCCTCTTGATTACAAACTGTCTTCATAAACAATTCAGTAAAACTATTATGCAGAACTCAACAGAATCAGTATCATTTGGACCTAGATTCTTAGAAAGAAATTTCTGAACTATATCACTGCATTTCATTTATAAGATTTATAAGATTCGGCAATCTTAGATGTCACGAGGTTACGTAGTTATATGATAAAGGCGGATGTTAGGTTCTTTCTCTTGGTCAATATGCACTTTGCCAGACCATACTTCTTCCAGTATTGTGAATAAAATAAGAATAGACTTTGGAATAAGATATACGATCAAAAACAGTGTCTTAAAGCAAAAAACACAAAAGATAAAACACACGGAATTATCAGATAATGTAAGACTATTATCCATTAATTTGGAGCGAAGTTGGAGTTATTGTGTTGAGGTCAGAGGTCAGAGATCTTAGGTTCTCATGGCGGCGTGTATGAAGACAACCCAGAGAATGGAGACAGTGTGCACCTCTTGAACGTCAGTCAACGTCTATGAGATTAGACGGCACAACAACCCAGAAATCTGTAATTTTTCCCCTACATTCCCCTCCCACGCCAGCCAA